TGTCTACACACCCCCAGCCCCCTCCCTACAGTGTTCTGGGCCAAGTCAAAAACAAAAATAACAAGCAAAACCCTACATGGCATCCTCGGCTGAAGCATTTCTCCAGAGACCATATTTCTCCTGTTGGGGAAGGGTTCCTATTGGCATGTGTGAGGCTCCGTCAGAGTTGGGGCTTTGAAGGAGGTGCTGTGCTACACGCTGTGTGTTGCTGCCTGGTTCTGCTCAAGAGTTCCACTTAAATAGGCTTTCCGCAAGCAAAACAGAGCCTGGCTTCTTCTACAACCCCTCCTCCTCCCTTAAAGAAGCAAGTTCCTCTTTTCCCTCGAATACTTCTGGACATATTAGGGAAAGTAACACATTCAGAGACAGCTCCACAGCCATTTCCCCAACACGGCATCGCTTCAATCCTTTTGCTGGCTCATCCCAGAGATAGTGGTTCCTGTTTTCACATCCAGCCTAGCCCTAGTCTAGTTCCCTGTGCCTGGAGTCTGGTCCCACAGGAGCCTCCTTCCCAAATCCTGCTTTTCTGACATTTCTTGAAACTTGCTGAGGAAGAGGGCAGAGGTTTGGCTGATTGAACTTTTATTAAAGAATTGAGACAGAAACCCTTATTTCCTCTTGTCCCAGAACTGACCATCAGTGTCAGAGTTCATCCTGGCCCCTCACAGGTATGCATTTTTTGTTCCTCCCCAGGTAATGTTCCCACATGAGGGCTAGGCACATAGCAGGCCCTCAGGAAATCACTGTTTAAGGCAACAGGATATATTGAAGAAACAAACAAACAAAAAAAAAAAAAAAACAACCAAACCCATTCCCGTTGAGTTGATTCTGATTCATAGCAACCCTATAGGACAGAATAAAACTGCCCTTAGGGTTTCCAAGGAGCGCCTGGTAGATTCAAACTGCCAACTTTTTGATTAGCAGCCATAGCTCTTAACCACTATGCCACCAGGGTTTCCATATTAAAGAGAGGCAATAAATACATGAAAACACACAGCCAATCAGAAAAGACCTTCTTGGAGAACTGAGCTTGTTTCTCAGGCTCTTCTGCCTCTGCTCAGGGTTTGGTGTCTTGGGCAATCGCAAAGACTCCATTGAGAGGGGGTGTTACCTGATGGAGATGGACGCAGTCAACAAGGGGTGGGGAGGGGAGTCTCCTCAGGTGTGTATACTCCTGCTGTGCTGACTCCTGGCTATTCCCACACAAGCCTATGCCCCTGCTTTCTCCCAGTTTTCCCCTAAGAAGGGAAATGACAGTCAGTCCATCCTGTCATGATGCTAACCCTCCATATTTGTTTGTTTGACTTGTTGTAGGGAAAAGACTGTCTAACTCAAAGTAAAATCAAAGAGATTTATTAAAGCCAATATATCATTCAAATGAGAGGATCGTGAAAACCTCAGGGTCTGAAGCTCACAGATTCCAAAGGGAGGGGTACAAATCAACCATAGTTACACTGCAGTATGAGGAACTACAAATGTAATATTCTGATTGGTTTACAGTGATTGAGGACAGTCAAAGGTGGGACAAGGCAAAGGGTGACCTTTAACATTATCAGTTATATTAATAACCAATAACATACATTGATTGGCTAAAAGACATTAATTTCAAGATGTGTGTTCGAGGAGAGGGTCTCATGACCAGTCACAAATAATGGCGTGATAATGGCATGATGGCTACTGTGTGGAACAGGTTGCTAAATATTACCTTGCCCAGAGCGTAAGATTCCTTGGAGAGATTTAACACACAGAGTTTTCGATAAGGTTTGGTTACTGATTCACAGTCTTATCCTAACCGCAAAGCCTTAATAATAGGGTTGGTTCCTAAGCTACAGAGTTTGAATCTGTGTGAAAGGTTACACACTGAGCTTTTAGCATTAGTTCAGCCATTTTATTTTAGGTCAGAAGCCTCTTCTGATTTTATATCCTATATCGGACTTAAAGTTCCTTTTTTTGTTGTTCTGTATTAGAAATCGGTCTTTCATGCTGGGTTCTAGGTCACCGATCTTCCTGCTGGAAGGCTTGGGCCGGAATTTCTTCTGTTCTGTCATTCTGTTCTGCCCTGTCATTCTAGCTGTTCTGGTGCCAGTGCTACACATTTTAATTACATCAGCTTTATAGTAAGTTTTTATAGCTGATTGGGTAGATGTTACATATAACTCTGTTTTTTAGAATACGCCTGCTTTATTTTTACACATACATTCTTTTATATTAACTTTAGAATACTTTTTTTCTAATTCCAAAAATTTGCTGGAATTTTAATAAGATTATTTTAAAAGTGTATATTAGATGAAAGGCAATGAACATGCTTACAATATTAAGACTTCCTACCCAGGAACAGTCACTGCATATGGACCGAGTCTGAAATCTGAGTGGTGCTTTTCTCCAAGCTTTTTTCTACAAGGCTGTCTCCCCCGAAGGGGCATCGACTTCTTATTTTCCCAAAGGCTCCAGCTGAGCTAGCTGGGCCTGCCCAGGCATCTTCCGTGGCTCCTAGAGTGAAGGAGACTGTATGGATGAAGGGCCAAGGACAAAGGATTCCCAGGGAATCCATGCCTCTGGTAAATACTTCCCGTGCTAGATCCTGGCTGTGGGCAGTTGCTCTTGCAGTGCTAGGTCCCCAGCTCCTTCTGTCTTTGCACTCTGCCCCCCTTATGGGGCTTTATTCCTCATGCTTATGAGATGTCAGCTTCGGGCCCTCCAGACCTCATGACCACATTCTAGGCAGGCAGACAGGGGAAGGGCAAAAGGCGTGGCCCACTAGTTTGTTCTTTTTTAACCAGGGTAACAAAAGCCAGAACTAATTCACATGGCCAGCTGTAGCTGCAAAGCGCCCAGGGAGGTGATTGATTATAACTGGACACGTTGGCAGCCTAAACAAAATCAGGGTTCTGTTGGTGAACAGGGAGGAGGGGATGGGTGCTGGATAGGTGCCCTGTAGTGCCGAAAGAAGCGGGCACCCCAGCACCCCAATGTTGGCATTGCAAGTCGTGGTGTCCTTCTTCCTTGCCTGTATTTGGCATTTTGTCAGACCTTTTCTTGTTTGTTGTTAGCATCCCATACACAAAATATTTTTAATTAGATTTAAAAGGTAAATGGAGAATTTTCCAGAGCTACTGACTAAGCTTATTTCATTAAATATGTAGAGAACAAGCTTGCCCTGCAGAGTGGAGAAGCATCCAGCCATGTGTCCCTGGGGCCTTCTGTTCAAAGCTGATAACTAAAACACACCAGACTTGCCGCTCCTGACCACCAGTCCCCAAAACAGCTGGGAAGTTTTCCATTATTTTCTTCATCAAAAAATTTCTATTTATTCCAAAATGCGTATTTAAGGATCTACAGTAGAATTTTAGCAATTGAGTTGGAAGGGCCCACTGGGAATTAAGGGACTCTGTGAGATAGTGCTGAAGGCCAAAGCCCGTTTCTCCTTTCCAGCTTCCCACTTCTTACCCATGAGTCTGAGGGCAGCATAGTGCTTCATAGGCTGGCTTCTCCAGACAGCTCAGCTCCTCCCAGGCCTGCCAAGTTCTCACATTGGAGGAGAGAATGACCCTCAGCACTGGAGACCGGATGGTGAGCGGCAGTCAGCTGCTGGGTCCAAACCCCTCAGCCAGCTCACATAACCGCTCCCCCATACAGCCCCAGCCAACACTCTCCTCTTCCCTGGTGGCTCTCATCAACCTAGAAAGAGCAGCTTCTTACCTCCTTATCTTCCCTCCCCCACCCCAGATAGATCCTAAATGTTTCTTTAGGACCCAGTTCAAGTGTCAGAACCCTGACCCCTACCATCACCAGATGAGTTACCCCACCGCTGAGCCCCTGCACACAGTGAGCCTAGCTATCACTATGCTCTCCGCGTGTCTGTTCCCTTAGGAGAGCTGCTGCGCCTTATTCATCTTTGTCACCCGAGACCAGGCCCAGGCCTAGGAGCTTGTCACATGAACCAAATGGACATGCCTCAGAAGAAACCTGAGCCCACACAGGGAGCTCGCTGAGCCAGGCCTCTTCCTACCACCCCTTCACTGGCCCTTAGCGCCCAGAGCTGAAGGGGAAAGGTGGAGGGCTGTGGTCACAGCTCTGGGCAGGGAGGAGCCTTGGCTCAGAACATCACGCATTTCTTGAGTTGCAGCCATGCGCTAGCCCTGGGCTGACTGCCAGGGCTGCAGACATGAGCAAGGGTCTGGGGTGCACCCAGGCTGGCAGAGAAGCCGTACACACAAGGGCTCTGTGAGGACGCCAAGACGCCTCTTGTCCCTGCCCTCCCTCCCTCCCCGGCCTGTCTGCCTGCTGTTTCCTTGTCCCTTTCCACCAGCGCATGTTCTTTGTTGGCCTTCATAACCTCAGACAGCTCCTCTTCTCCCAACCAGTGAGCAGCTGTGCAGATAGCCAAGTGTGGGAGGACAGGTGGAGGCACGCTGCTATTAGGGACACAGAATGTTTGAATGGTGAGAGGAAGCATCTAAGGTGATGTGGCCAGGGACCTGAAGGGGCTGACAGGCCAGTGCAGCTGTCCCCAAAGACGCCTGCCTCCCCGTCGGTCCTGTCTTCTCGGTGTGTGCATTGGCCATCTCTGAGCACAGGCCCATTTGCACTAAGGCCAACCAAGATACATTCCAACACCTCGTAGTCCACTGCAAGGGAACTCTGAAAGGTTTGAGTTTTGTTTCCACTGCTTCTATGGAAAAAAAAGGTGTTTTTTTTTTTTTTCTTGCCCTTGCAAAATATCACATTTTTCCCAATTGAAGGAAAATCAATTTTATTTTGTAATGTGTCTGACTTGCGAAGTTCCATTGCTGACCCAACCTTGGCAGCTGCTCAGAGCAATCCCTGATCTCTTTCTTCTGTGCTGAGCAGTAGCCAGTCGTTCCCTGGGCTGAATCTGAGCCATTTGTTTTCATCTCTAAATGAGTAGTGAGTTAAAAGAGCTTAGGCTTTTAATAATGAAACACAGAAAGGACCAAAGATGATGCGTTAATATTGGATTCTCCTTATTTTATCACAAGAAAACCGCTGCAGATGGAAAAAGGCAGGAGATCATCGTGCTGGATTCCAAGAGGAGCAATGCGATAAATATCGGTCTGACGGTCCTGCCCCCTCCAAGAACGATTAAGATAGCCATTTTGAATTTTGATGAATATGCCTTAAACAAAGAAGGAATTGAGGTAAGAGAAGCTCTATGGAGCACAACTTGTGTTCAGTAATATGTTGCATATATAAAGCATTCCTCTGTCCAGTATGTCTTTCTCCACGGGGTGGCTTGCCATTTTTCTATCCTCAGCCAGACTCTGAATAATATTAATAGTTCTCAACAGTTTTTTAACTTATTGGGGGGAAACCCCCACTTGGCCTATGAAGTTCAGAGACCCTTACTCTCTGGTTCATGTGGTGGCCTTCCTCTGACCACATTCTGCCTACCTCTAAAATGGAAGAAGAATATAATACTTTCCTCAGGAGGCTGGTACCGTCTTCTTACACACCGTTTCAAACCAAATATGTTTAACAAATGAGGGCCAACAGTTTTCGTTTTTCTGCAGTGTATGATATTTTAAGTGAGCTTTCAGTACACCTTCACATCCAGGTAAATGACTTTGTTTCTCTGGTGGTACTCACTGGGGTTTGTAGAGAAAAGCTGGAGAAGCCGAGCTAGCCGAGTCTTTAGTATTTGTTGATCCTAATGTCAGGAGTGGAGAGAGGCTGGGTGACTTGTTTGCACCACACAGCTGGTCAGTGGTGCAGCTGGAGCCACACAGCTCACCTGTTCTGCCAAGGTTCAGTGTTCCTTCCACCAGACCATACTCTCCTTTTACCATGGGCTGATGCCAGTTGATAGCAGGTTAAATCCCACAGTCTGATAATGGGGAATGCGTGGAGCCAGTGGCCCAGCCTACAAATTCCTACAGGAAGGCAGTATATTCCGGGGGACCTGCCAGACCAGAGCAGGTGTCTGGGAACACTGCTTTGTGGCATTGGGTAATACCCACCCATCCTCCTATTGGCAAGGAGCCCTGGACCCCTTTAAAGCCCCTGTATACATTCAGACACAGTCTTACCTGAAAGACTCAAGGGTGGAGGAAGCCAAAGAAGCCTGACTGCAGAGAGGAGGAATGAGCCCTTGACAGAAAGTCAGCAGTAAGGAAGTGAGGAAGGGCCGCAGCCTCTGGTGCAGACTCACCCACGGCTCTGAGTGTGTTTGTGGGTGGGTGGGTGGGGGCGGCATTTGAAGTCCACATGATGCGAGGCTGGGTCTGAACCCACCTGGCTAGTGTGCCTTTGTGCTTTGGAAAGATGAGGCCTCCACAGGAAGAACTGTTTTCCTAGAGGCTCAAGCAGCTCTGCATGTATATATGCATGTGTGTACGTACACACACACACACACACACACACACACACACGCATGCGCACACCTGCTCCAAGAGCAGTTACAAGAAAGGAAGTATATTTCCCTCCTGGCTGGAGAGGGAATTGACCTTGAGCCCTGGACTTGGCCCAGGCAGCCAGGCAGGTAAACATACCCAGGTGGGCAGTCAGGGAGTAAGGGCACATGGCAAACTGAGGCAGAGGGCCCGAAGAGGTCAGCAAGGTGTCAGCAGGCTGAGACAGAGAGAGAGGGACAGTGAGGCAGCTGCCTGATATCAGGAAGGGACAGGCCAGGCTGTAGTGTGAGCAGCCCCGCTCTGAGACCCCTGCAGAGATGCAGGGAAGGAGAAGGGTAGTGACTGCCATTGGGCACGTGGGGCTGCTGACCTGGGCAGACCAAGTGCAAAGTGTCTCAGCTATGAAAAACAACCTGCTGAGGCCCCACACATATCCAGGCCATCCCATTTACCCAACAGGGTCTCTTGGAGATCACAAAAGCTTCAGATTCATACAGAGAGGTTTCCAATGCAGTCAGAGCCAGCCCGATTGAAGGAAAAAATGACGCTTTCCCCTCATATTTCCCTTTGTCATGAGAACTTGAAAGTCCATCAGGAGAGATGGATTCCTCTGGGTTTGCCTTTGTTCTTTCCTGAAATGGAGCCCTCCCTGGGTGGGAACATTTCAATACAGTACTTACATTTTGGAATGAATCAAATTATTATTTTTCCTTCTCTGGCTGGGTTCCTGGTTAACACCCGTTTGATCCAGGAGGGAATAAGCATAGCAGTACTAACAGTAGTGAGGACGGAGTCACAACACAGCCCTACACCTGACTTTCAGTGTTTTTATCGGGGGCCAGGTACCAGGTAGGTACTTTAGACAGATTCTTGTCAAAACCTTGTGAGGGAGATACCATTATGTTCCTCTTCTCACAGGTGAGTCCCAGCGTTAGTCTGTGTCTGAGGTCACAAGCCAGTGAGAGGCTGAGCTGGAATATGAGCTCTGGAGTCTAGAATCCAGGCCGTGGGCCTTGGGAATGGCTGGCCCTGGAGGGGCACTCCAGGCCTAAGTTTATGTGCCAAAAAGAATAAGAGGGAATCTGGAAGGGGAGGGAGAAGCTGCAAGAGGCGAGGCAGTCCACTTCACAGTGCTGCCTCTGGGCTTCTCCCTGGGAGTAGCTGATAGATGGAACAATTTGAAGTGAAAAGACACGGCCACAGAAAACGCTGTAAACCCTTAAACGAAACAGTCACCATCGAGTTGACTCTGACTCATGACAACTCCAAGTGTGTCTTGAATTGACTCTGACTCATGACAACTCCAAGTGTGTCAGAGTAAAACTGTGCTCCACAGGTTTTTAGTGGCTGATATTTTAGAAATAGATTGCCAAGCCTTTCTTCCAAGGCATCTCTGGGTGGACTTGAACCTCCAACTTTTGAGTTAGGAGCCAAGTGCTTCAACGGTTTGCACCACCCAGGGACTCCGATAAACCCTTACTGAGGTTTTATTGTGTCGTGAGTCCTCAATAGATTCATATTTACTCACAACAACACATGAAGTTACATCATTTTTGTGTAACAATTGTCATTTAAAGCAGCATTTCTCAAACTCAGCATTATTGACATTTAGGCTGGACAATTTTTTGTTGTGAGGGGCTATCCTGTGCATTGTAGCATGTTTAGGAGCAGCCCTGGCCACTAGATGCAGAAGCACGCCTCCAGGTTGCGAGAATGAAAAACATCTCCAGATACTGTCAAATGTCCCCTGTGGGCAAAATCACCCTGGTTGAGAACCACTGATGTAAAGGCTGCCCTGGGTGGATCCCAGAGACTGTGTATACCTCAGTTCCTGTCATGGCTGAGGAGACTCCAGTGGAAGCCAGCCCTCTTGGAAAATGGGGATCTAGGGCACTATCTGCCATCACCTGCTGTCTCCAGTCATTGATCTCAGGGCTGTTTGAGGGGTGTAGATGGTCCAGACCCCTGTGCTCCTGAGGTCAGTTGTTGTTGTTGTTAGCTACCATCAAGCTGGCCCCCAACTCATAGTGACCCCACGCACAATGGAATGAAACACTGCCACGTCCTGTGCCATCCTCAAGATCAGTTGCAGATCAGACCATGTGATCCAAGGGTAGGGTATTCATTGGCTGATTTTTGGAAGTAGATCACCAAGCCTTTCTTCCTAATTTGTCTTAGTCTGGAAGCTCTACTGAAACTAGTTCAACATCATAGCAACACGCAAGCCTCCAGTGACAGATGGGTGGTGGCCACACATGAGGTGCATTGGGTAGAAATTGAACCTAGATCTCCCACATGGAAAGCAAGAATTCTACCACTGAACCACCACTGACTGCCCCATGAGTTCAGTTACCCAGATCTTATTCTCTAGACTCCTGTTCAAGAGTTAAATCAGGATCAAAAAGAGATGACAGTTGTGTACTTACAGATCTTTGCTAATAAAATTTCCAGCTTGTGCCCAAAGGGCTTTTTGCCAAACAGTCTGCTTCTTGGATGCAGGCGCCTAATGGGGCCATTTGAAGGCTTGGTGTACCTAAATGTAATTAGGATGCACTAAATGACATCCTGTGGATTTGCTCAGCAACCCAGTGATGCGTATTCCGGTTTGTGATGAAAACCAGAGAGAGTAAGTTAACTTCATTAAGGAAGTCTGTTTTCATAAGAGTATTAAACTTCGGAAAATTACTTTGGGACCATCTTCTAAGTAGCATCAGTGATATCTTCCCAAGTGAAATGTTATCAAGTTATCACAAATGAAAGCATGGAGAATTTTCCTTTTCTTTCTTCCTTTCTAATTTTTATAGAGTCAGCGTCTTCTCAGAAGGTAGCACAACTGAATGATCCCAAATTACACTTAATTTGGCTCAGTTTGCCAGGCCTGTCAGCATCCCAGAAACAGAGGTTCTGTTTGGCCACGTGTACAAAACCACAGCATCTTTTCAGTCAGGTTGTGCTGTGCAGCCCCCATCTGTAGGTGCCTGAGCCGGGCATGGGAGTCATGGTCAGCTCAGCAGCACCAGGGAATCAGAATATCCCAACGATTGGGTGGCTTTACCACACTGTTATTTTTGCATTTCTGGTTGGATCCCCAGGAACTGTGGAGCTGGTGCTAGGAAACTAGGAGAAGCCCCTAGGTTGTTCTCCAGCTCTGCTTTGGTTGACTTATCATGGCCTTAGGCAAGTCACTTCATCTGTAAGTTTGATGAAATACATCCTTCCCCATGTGCCTCACTGAGTAGTCAGGAGCATGAGAGAAAAGAATATCAAGAGACTTCCAGAAATTACAAAAAAAGTCTCTGCATGAAAATAATTATGAATCATTATAACATGAATGGAAAGCTATTTTCTCATGGGAATGTGCAAGTTGTGGACAAACCAGGCCCAGGTGTAAGTACTTCAACTGTTTGCTATTGTCACCAAAATCCTTGTGCTAGATTGTAAACTAGCCCAGAATCTGCCCAGACTGACAAAGCAAAATAATTGCTCATTTTGGCCTTATCTTCAAGTGATTGAGATGGCCAAACCCTGTAGCTTTTGGAGACTTCTGCATTTTTCTCTGAAACACAGCTTTCAGATACACAAGCTTAGACCAATCCTGGAGTGAACACTACCTGGGAGAAAGCTAAAAACATTGAGGTTATTACATATGGGTCTTGTTTGATGTTTTTCTTCCTGTGAAACCAAATGATGATCATAAAACCATCAATAAATTTATTGACATGGTAGGTGAGCAGGTTAAACGTGCCTCATCATACTCATCCTTCTGTATGCTTATTGGACAAAAGGGCCATCAGCTTATAGGTGGTGGCTTTGACCTGTTGTTCCACTGCGTTCTGGCTATTTCTATTGCCAGTGATGTGTAAAAAAAATAAACTAAACTGGCAAATGGCACCCTCATAAGTCTTCAGCAGTGAACAAATGGTTTAAACTAGTCAGAGATGTGAAAAACAAAAGTACGAGTGGTTGATTACTTTCTCAAAGGAACAAAGCAACAAAAATCAATGCAGGAAAGTGCCTTCTGAAGAAGGATAAAAACTGTTGAAATTTTTTGTTTGTTTTTGTGCGTGCAAAAACAATTTGCTTAAAACAATTTGAAATAAAATACAAATTTTAGTTGTTATTTTGAAAAGTAGTTGAGTTCAAATCATGCATGTTTTTAAAGAAGCAACCTCTGTGTTGAATTATTTTGGTTATTTTTTGATACCGTCTGTGTGGACAGGTAGGTTCAAGAGCATGAACCTGAGGGGCACGAGCCAGGTAGTGGGGAACAAGGAGCACTGTCACTAAATATCTCCCCTGATGCTGAAATTCCACCTGTATTAACTCAGCATTTGGGGCCATAATGAGGAGAAAGTTCAAGGTGAGTCTCGGGACTCACCTTCTGCTCACTCTGACCACAGCACAGGATACAGGTCTTCAATGCAGTTTTCCATCACTGGCTTCTGATAAACTACCTGTTAACTCTTGTAGATTTCTTATAATTTTCTACGTATATGACAGTCATGTCATATATGAATAGGGACAGTTTTATATTTTCCTTTTCAAACTGTGTGTCTTATTTCTTTTATATGCCTGGTTAGGATTTCCAGTATAACGTTCAATAGGAGTGGTGACAGTGGATGTCCTTGCCTTATTCTTAATCTTAGAAGGAAAGCAGTTAGTATTCAGTGTAGGTTTGTTTAAAAATGTCATCTATCTCCTCTTAGTGCTGGGTTGTTGAAAGTTTTTATCATGAATGGATATTGAATTTTGTCAAATGTTTTTTCTGCACCAATTGAAATGATTATGTGGTTTTTCTTGTTTAGGTTGTTAATCTTGTGGGTTACATTGATTGATGTTTATATCTTGAACCAACATTGCATTCCCAGGATAAATCCCATTTGGTGGTGTTTATTATTCTTTCATATACTACTGTACAAAATCTAGCAATATTTTATATATCTTAATATATATTAAGATGTTGATATTTTTAAATTCAGCTTTATTACAGATATTGGTCTGTAGTTTTCCTGTATTATCTTTGTCTAGTTTTTGTATCAGGGCAATTCTGGCCTCATAATAATAGTAGGGAAATGTTCCCTTGCCTGTTTGGGTTCAGGCCACAGGCTCTGACCTGCCTTCTGTAGGCTGTGGTTCCAGCGTCAATTCCATTTTCAAAGTGAGCAGTAACTATCCACTAGTTCAGTCCTGTGAGGTCAGAGTCACACATGAGCAGCTCAGGAGTGAGCCCAGAAGTTCTTAAACGACTTTATGTATTTGCTTTTAAAGCTGTTCCTTCTCCGTGACCTCCCCAGTACTTTCTGGTTACCTGGGATCTTCCCTTTTTGGCCCTTCAGTAAAAAGCTGGGACATTAGTTACCCCACTTCGCCATGTACTTTCTGTGACTGTGCCTATGTCTGGTGCTATGCCAGAGGAGAACAGAGAGAAAAACAATGGGGGTTTACCCCATCTTCTTGAGACCACAGGTCCTCCAAGTAAAGAGGAAGGTTCCCCTCCCTCAGAGATTTAGGTGCCTGCCAGCCCCTGCTGCTAATGCTACTCTCTTTCCCACTCCTAGAGTCATCACTAGATCCTTTGGAGCCCCCGCTCTCTGGGCCTGATGTCCTCTTCCAGCTTGTGGGCTGCCTTGAGCCCAGCCTGGGGAATAGCAGAGGGAAAATTCCCAGACTCGGGAATAGCCAGTTTGCTGGTACTTCCAATTCCAGACTTCTTACCCAATCCACCTGCCACTATTTGCTTTTCAGAGTCCTTAAATAGCTACTGCGTGCAAGCAGGCTGAGACTGCGTTCAGTGGGAGAGACAGGGTGGAGTGTGCTGACTCCATCTCACCCAGAACCAGAACTCTCTCCCACTCTTTATCCAGATGCTTGCCATTGTAGAGCAGTAACCAAAGCCACTTAGAATTAGTGAATTAACATTAATTACAAAAATTATGGTACAAAGTGTATTTTTATGCTTTGATGGTTGTTGTTGTTGTTAGGTGCTGTCAAGTCATTTTGCAACCCTGTGACAGAGTAGAACTGCCCTGTAAGGTTTTCTAGGCTGTAGTCTCTACAAGAGCAGGTTGCCAGGTCTTTTCTTGCATAGCTGCTGGGTGGATTCGAACTGCCAACGTTTCAGTTAGCAGCTGAGCGCTAAACCATTGCGCCACAAGGGCCCCTTGCTCTAATGGTAGAGAAGGAGAAATTAGAGAAAATAAAAACATTTTACCATAAATATTGCTGCTTATGAAGTGTCACACGATGGGAATTTTTACCTTCCTTTAAAATGTAGTCACTAATGAATTAGAACCTGTAAGAATCATAATCATTCTGACGTCTTTTTGCCTCCTCTGCCTTCCACAATTGATCTTTACCAGAATCAAATAAAAGTAAAAAGTATATTTTTCAGTCAGTAGGTAGGTATTGCTCTTTATAAATACTATCATCATTTTTTCCTCAATCGGGCTTGGGTTTGATAGCATTTAAAGTATTTTCATTTCTAAATAAATTTTGAAATACAGTTAAAACAAAATTGCCACATATCCCCATACAAAGGTTAACCTGAGTGCTATGAAAAGAATTCATTTCTGTATGCTCTTGAATGAATCCATGAGAAGTGCTAGAAACATATATTCTTACCATTCTTTATTTCCTTCTCCGGGTTCCCCAATCTGCTATCTCATTCTTTCATCTTTCTTCCACATACAATTCCTCTTTCTTGCCTAGGATGTCTTTCATGTACAAGACCCAGAAAACCTTGGGCAAGTGCTTAAGTTCTTTGTGAAACAGGAGAAGGTTAAAAGAGAGAAAGAAAAGAGAATTTTAGACCAGGGGAATGCAAGATTAGATGCTACCTAGGGTTTTCCTTCTCTAAAGTGTATTTTGTCTGTAACAATATAATATCCATATGTGATAAAAACACTAACAACAGAATATCTGAACTACGCGTCTGGAAAATTACAATCTGAACTTGAAAACATGGAAAGGGTGAGGTAGAGTCCATCACTAAGAGAAAATAGACTACATTATCCCATTTTTCCAGAAAATTCTAACCATGATTCCCACTGAAGAGGAGAAGCAGAAGATCCAGGAAGCTCAGCTGGCCAACCCTGAAGTACCCCTGGGGAGTGCCGAGCAGTTCCTCCTCATGCTGTCCTCCATCAGCGAGCTCTCAGCTCGGCTCCACCTCTGGGCATTCAAAATGGATTATGAAACTACAGAAAAGGTAAGCACTTGGTGAGAGAAGCAGCCAAACCTACATCCTCACTGTTGAGAAAAATCTGTTTTTTATTGGTGAAGATAGCAAAGAATCATATTTGAGACAGGGTTTGAATGCTGAGTTGATTAAGATATGGTTGCGTATACTCTAAGTGATCAGCAGCCTGCCAGTGGGGAGGTATTCTAAAGTGTCTGCCTGGCACCAGCATCAGGGACTTGACTGTGGGCACCAAATGACTAGTTTTTAAAACACAAAAAACTACTTTCTTTTTCCTGACTTTATATGCTGTTTGTAGAAAATTTGAAAAATACAGAAAAGCATATTATAAAATCACCTAAGCTACCATTGACTATGGCATTTAGCAGGTCATTGGGCAACGTTGAGAGAGTATTCTCAGTAGAAAGTTGAGGATGAGACAGATTGCAAGAGGTTTAGGGGAGAATGGAAGGAAAGAAACCTTAATGATGAAGGCATGGGGGACTCATCTTGAGTAGAAAGGGGAGGAAGCAGATGTCTTCTCTGGAAATAGGGCAATGGAGTATTTTTGCAAGTTGAACAGAAGGAACTAGTGTTGAGGAGAAGGGAGAGATGGAAGGTAAACTAGATGTGAGCTTAATTGAGAGGAAGAAGTATCCAGAGAAGACAGATTCAAAAGCATGGATGGATGGAGAAGCTGCATGGTCTCCATCTTCCTGCAAAGGAGGTGACAAGATCCTATGTGCTGAGGACCAGATAGGTGGCAGTGGGTTGTTTACAGGCTTCAGAAGGGAACTGTTGTATTTGAATCCATTGGAGAATCAAGCAGGGATGAAACCTAGGACTGCTAAGATGACTAGCTTGCCTTGGTCACAAACCAGTCCGTACATTTAGGTGACTTTCTCTAACAAAATGAGGTAGCATCATGGAGAAAACAGATAATTGGGTCAGCCTGAATTGGGGATTGGCAGGGCCAGCCTGGCAGAAGCTAAGCTGGAGAGAATGAAACTGGACCTTCTCACTTTGGGATCTAGGCTGGTGGAGAGCCTTAGTAAGAACATGGGTGTCCACAGAAGAATAGAGAGGGAAGAGGGGAGACTGAAGCTCTGAGACTATAGAGCAGGCTGGGGGTCTGAAAGACTGGGAGTGATGAAGACAGTGGCCGCCCAGTGAGTAACCCAGGCTAAGAGGTGGCCAGTCACGGAGTGCCTAGAGGGGAAGTTGTGGGACCTGGGGTGGTCCAGGGACAGTGAGGCCACAGTTTCCATTGTCATCTGTGTGGAAGGAGAAAGGCAAAGAGGAAGACAGTGGTCCAGATGCTGAAGGAATAGGCAAAGGAAGAGTGTCGTAGAAGTCAGCCCTGGTCAGGAGAAAGAATGGGTGTGGGAGGTGTGACTTAAGAGTCTTGCGTGGGCTTGAAAGAAGGGCAGGAACAGGGGGAAGAGAGTATTTGTCACACCTGCACAAGGTCGTGTTAGTCACAGGTGAATGTTTGGACTGCTGGTTTCCAATGTGGGGAGACATTGATGATGAGGTTGACTCGCCCTGCCTGCCACCTTTCGGTACCTTTTCCACACCTAAGAGTACATGACCATCACATGGGATTGCCTCATGCTGGGGAGAACTTCTTTTGTTATCACCTTGTGCAAAAATTAAAAAGAACAGAGTAAAGCCAAAATGTACTGTCTTTAGCGTCTTCTTCTAATTTTTTTTTAACTGAAAGGAAGTGGCGGAACCACTTTTGGATCTGAAGGAAGGAATAGACCAGTTGGAGAACAATAAAACCTTGGGCTTTATCCTGTCTACTCTGTTAGCCATCGGTAACTTTCTAAATGGAACTAATGTAAGTCTTTCACATTCCTTATCCTCCTAACTCCCTGACCACAAAATTCCTGCCCCTCCTTTGCTGATGGTTAGTTGTGCCTCTGGTCCACTAAAGCACAATTGAACAAACAACTTTGGTATATTCTTGCTAAAAACTGGAAAGAATTTTTCCCTTAAAATATCAAGCCCTACTTATTTGAACCTGTATCTTACTGTAAATAAGCAGACTTAGAAAAATAAGCATACTATTCCTTATGAAGCTTGGCTACTCTCAAAATTGATCTCAAGGATATTTTCTTCTACGTGTTTTTCTCCCCCTGAGCTTATTGCTCAAATAATTGTGCTTGTACACATTCTGGAAACCCTTGCGGTGTAGTGGTTAAGAGCTATGGCTGCTAACCAAAAGGTCAGCAGTTCGAATCCACCAGGCGCCCCTTGGAAACTCTATGGGGTAGATCTACTCTGTCCTGTAGGGTCACTATGAGTCGAAATTGACTTGACAGCAACAAGTTTGGTGTTTTTGGTATACACATTCTGAAACTTAAAAAAAAATTTTTTTAATTGGCCTAAAAAGCTTTGGTGGGGAAGTAGAAAAGCAGTAGGGCAAGAGGAGAAAGAAGCTGCAGAAACCTAGTGGCCAAGACCCACAGCATCCTGATTTAGGGGTAGAGCCACAGAACATGGCTGGGTATAAAAGGGCTGGAGGCTCGTTTCATTCTGTGTGGCTGATCCACTTGTGAGCAGCTAAGGAGGATAGGGTGTGTGGCCTGAGGAGCTTCAGTCAGAGAAAAACTAAATATTGGGTTACTCCAACAGTAGATCTGTGCATTTCTAAGAGCCTGCCTGGAACATGTTTTTCCCATCTTTTATTTTATGTTTACCCAACAGGCCAAAGCGTTTGAGTTAAGCTACCTCGAGAAGGTTCCAGAAGTCAAAGACACAGTGCACAAGCAGTCACTTCTCTACCACGTGTGCACCATGGTGGTGGAAAACTTCCCAGACAGCTCTGATCTCTATTCGGAGATCGGGGCCATCACCAGGTCAGCCAAGGTATGTCTGTGGACACAGAGGAGTGGGCCTTGCCTTTGCCTCAGATACTGGATCTTTATCAGTCATCTCTGAGGAACTCATGCTCTGTTAAGTAAAAGGTTCAATGCTGCTTACATGCCCTGCTCTAGAGAGTTGGTGAGTATGATTCATTTCATGCCATTTCTAATGAACTCTTTAAGATCTTTTTCCTGTCTCTGATTCTCCATCAGATTCCTTCTGATTGAGGTATGTAAGGTAAGCCTGCCATCCCAGTCATGATCCCCAAGTCCACTATTGAGCAGTGTTACTCACCAGGCTGGATTCTCCAGAATGTTAAACTCCACAGCTTGCTTAAGGTGGTAAAATAAAAACGTGAAGAAGATAGTTTGCTCCTCCTAAGATTTCCGTAGCTTGCCCTGAGGTGTGGATCCAGAAAGCAGAGGGCCCGCCTGGCCCTGTACACCCCACAGATTGGTCATCCCATGTTCCTGTGCAGAGGGAACATTTTTATAGGGCTGTAAATAGTATATAGCCTTGGCCCCTCAGCTGCAAGCTCTTAAATTAGTAGAGTTAATATCTTCATGGTCTTATGGTTTATTAGAAAAGAGACCATTGCAATAGCTGAAACCCCCACTGCCTGCACTACAGGGGGTCACTGAGGCTGAACAACCCCCAAAGGAGCCCGAAACACACCAGTACCTGGAGACGTGAAGGTCCTGGGAGTAAGGAAACCCAGCTGGGAGAGACCTGAATAGGGCACAGGAGCCAGTTTCCAATGTGGAGGCAACTCCTGGAAACACAATCTGGGCTGGGGAGCAGGAGCTGAAAGCAGACCGACCTTTAGCACTGGGAAGCTCTGGAATGTAGTATGAGGAGAGGGAGTGGTGGGAAGAGGAGTGGAGGGATGGAGAGAGTGGGGCTTTGCTAAGGTGTCCTTCAAAGAGCCCTCCTTCCCTCTGTCCTCTCCCACAGAACTGGTTTTGGGGACCTGGTGGCTGAGAGCCTCCTTCACCTGCCTCAAAAGCAATGGGCAGGCAGCTGCCAGGCTCACCAGAAGGGGATCCTGAGCAGCCTGACCATGGACCTGCCTTGTAGCAGAAAGAGGCATGGTCAGCGAGCCCCCAGCTCAGAGAGCTAGCAAAGGGCTTCTTACACACAGAATCCTCTTTATTTAAAAAGCACTTATGCTGTATTAGGAGCCCTGGTGGTACAGTGGTAAAGCTCTGAGCTGCTAACCAAAAGGTCAGCAGTTTGAATCCACCAGCCGCTCCATGGGAGAAAGATGTGGCAGTCTGCTTCCATAAAGATTACAGCCTTAGAAACCCTATGGGGCAGTTCTCCTCTGTCCTGTAGGGTTGCTATGAGTCTGAATTGGGTTTGGTTTTTTTGGTATGCTGTATTTCTCTGTGCCAGGTGCTGTTCTGAGGTCTTTACAAATATTACTTCAGTATCCCAAATAAGGTGGAATGCCCCTCTGAGTGTCCCCAGCAAGGAGTCCTCCAGTTGTTGCTCTGACATTCCCCATGAGCACCTCCTCCAAAGACAGTTTTGTTAGAAAAAGAACTCTATTTGAGACAAATGCTCTTGATCTTGGTCTGTTTCCAAAACTACCGAGAACAAATTAGTGCCCTTTTTACATGTGGTTCTTTGGTTGTTCCCAAGGCCTTCCCCCAGGTGGAGCCTGCTTATAATGGAAGCGACCTCGGCCCGAGAGTCCAGTCCCCAAGGCTCCAGGAAATGGAAGCAGATGACCACACAGGCTCCTCTTCCTTACATTTTACCTGCTTCTATTAGTTATTTACAGCTGTGTAACAAACCACCCCAAAAGCTAGTAGCTAAGACAGTAATAAACATTGTTTCATGGGTGGTTCTGTCTCAAGGTCTCTCAAGATGTTTCAGTCAAGAGTTGGCTGAGGCTGCAATCATCTGAAGGCTTTTGACTGGGGCTGGAGGATTTATTTTCAAGGTGGCTCACTCGCCTACTTATTGTTAGAGGGAGGCCTGAGTTCCTCCCCACGTGGGCCTCTGCCAGGGGTCCTTGGGTGTCCTTGGGACATGTGGGTGGCCTCCCCTTAGAAGGAGTGATTGAAAGAGCATGTGAGGTGGAAGCTCTGTCTTCTTTATGGCCTAGCCTTCACATTCCATTCCTTAGAAGCAAGTCACTCAAAGCCGGTCCACATTCAAAGGGAGGGCTATCAGCCTCCACGTTTTGACTGGATGAGTGTCAAAGAATTTGCAACATATTTTTAAGGACTCATACTGTGTGTTTTGCCCACCACGTCCCTTCCACAGCCCTAGCCCTGCTCTCATCCTTGAATTGTCCCCCAGCATCCCAGACTGATAAGACTTGGCTTTACTTCACGGCACAGCCCACATGTCTTCCTTTATGTGGAAAGTGGCCAATATATAGCAGTATGCAAGAGAGGACTTCCTTCTCAAAATAAAGCCAGCCCAGTTCTCTTCCTGGGATGGAATCTTTTAGGGGCAAACCTAGACTTAAAGCCTGGTGGTTTAGAACTTTAACTCTGAAGGCAGAGAGACCTGACTTCAAATCACAGTTCCACCACTCACCAGCTGTGTGGTTTCTCACAAGTTACTTCTCTATGCACCAGTTTCTCACATATGAAGTGGGGCAGCAGTAGATTCTGAGACTGTGAAGTTATTATGAAGTCTCAGATCATGTGTGCCTCAGAGGGCTTAGCATGGTGCTGGGCTGAGTCAGCCCAGGTGGGCAGCCAGCTGAGGGAGCTTGCAGGCCTCCTCAAAAGTTGCTACATTAAGCTCAACCCTCAAACCACATCTCGACAAAAGTTTCCCCACCTGGTTTCTATTGGCAGTGTGCTTGCTTTCCTCTGCTGCCACATGAGGGTTCATAGCGGGCTCTCTCTCCTCCAGACGCCCTCTGTCTATTGTGTCTGCCCTCCTGTTCTGTGCCCACCACAGTGCTGGGCAAGCACCAGCCGCTCAGGGGGCACAAAGCTGCTTGTGCATGTTTGGGTGAACTGAAGTTACTTTATTGTGGGTCAAGAGAGCTGCCAGATGCAAAAGAGGACAGACTTGGAGAGTCGTGGCTCTATTACAAGAGTCAGCTCTACTTCAGTTAGCTTAAAACAGTCCTAGACCTTCTAGAAATGAGTTGTCAATCGCAAGCATCTGGGTCCTCTTCTAGCCTTATATTTGAACGATTCAGTCCTTCTTTCCTAAATTTGCATTTCCTTTACCCTAAGCAGGAAGACCAATATTTTTTCTTTCAGCTCTGTTGTACTGTGTAAAAGTGAAGTCCCTTTGTAACTGGATCCCAAATTCTCTTGGTTTCAGGCAAAATCACTTTCTTCCAAGTCCCATGAATCCCTGCTTACCTGAATTCCAGGGCTCTACCTAAACTTGCCTTCTCAAGAAATCCAGGGCACTCCATGTCTAGACTGGCCGCCCGTGCTCAGCGTGGCTTCATCCTGTTTGGTGCCGTAGATCCTCTCGCAGGCTCCTGTTTTGTTCACTTGATCCTCACCTTTATCCTTCTGACGGTGGAGCTGGAGGTCTGAGATCACTCCAGCGAGTCCCTTCAGGGAAACTTGCCTCCAGACCCTGCTGTCATGACCACGGTCAATGGATTTAAGCAACAGCGGCTCGCCTCTGCACATCTTTGTCCTTCTTACTTTTGTTTGCCCCACTCCCCTACAGAGAACACTCTCTTGTAAGGTGGCTCTATTTACTTGAAAGTTACTCGTTTCCCACCATCTCTCACTCTACATCCACCTCAGTCCCCTCCCTTCAGGTTGCCTGTCTGATTATTTATTTCTTCCTCCTCTCTTATCCTTCTCAGTTTCTTTCCACTACTCCACATCTCTCTCCATGAAATGTGGCTCTCAAGTGAATTTTTCCATGACTAAGTTAATCCACATAACTTTTAGTCTAGAAATTCTATAAAAGCATTACCTTGAGAAAGCCTCGTTTCCAACCACTTCAGTCAGCCCGAACTGTTTGCCCTTCCCTGAATACTCAGTGAGTGCTCTGTCTCAGCTCTTCCTTGCACATGTGGCTTGCCCTGCAGGAAAGACCACACACACATGCACACACATTCAAACACGTGTACACACAGAGACACACACACACACACACACACACAGACATGCATGCACACACACAGATGACACCCACCTACAGAGACACACCCACACAGACACATGCACATACACGTGTGCACACAGATACATACGTGCACATATTGCACACACACACATACACACATATGTGCACACAGAGATACAGTCACACACACACACATGCTCATACAGGCCTGGTTGGTTCTGTACGTCCTTCAGTGCTTGGTAATCACCTGTGTATATAATGAGCCCCTTGAGGGCAGGAATGGGGTCTCATTTGGTATTTATCTTTGTGTTCTTAGTGTCTGGTATGGGAACACTAGTTTCTCCTTGAGTGTTGGTTGGATGAGTGAATGAGTGGATGGGTAAAATAATGTGTTACACAGTGTAAAAGAGATCACCATGAGAGGAGCTGGCTGCCCATTAGCTGGCCTGGCACATCAGAGCCATGCATGACTTGAGTGCATCCCTCCAACCTTAAGTGAAATATCATTTTTGAAGATCAGAAGTGCTCTGAAAATTTTTATGAGACATCTACTTAGTTCATTTTGTACTAGGGTTCCTTGATAGCGTGTTTTAATTTACAGTTCACCAAGACCTTCCTAAAATTTCTTTCCAAATATAGCCAAAAAAGGTGACACTTGTATTGGGTTTATTTGGAGAACGGTTTTATCACTGAATAATTTGTTGTCAAAATAATGACAAATACACGTGTGAATAAATTGTTAGCCAGTAAATATGCTTGTATTCCAAGATATAGATTTGGTTTTGATGTTATGTTTTTCTGGAGGCGGTTTGGTTTCCCCGTTCAGGTTGGTGTTCGGTAGTTTCAGTGCCTTTGCAATGTTCTGTCTCTGATTTTCAGGTTGACTTTGATCAGCTTCAGGATAATTTATGTCAGATGGAGAGAAGATGCAAAGCTTCATGGGATCACCTCAAGGCAATTGCAAAACATGAAATGAAACCAGTGTTAAAACAACGAATGTCAGAGTTTCTAAAAGACTGTGCAGAGCGAATTATCATTTTAAAAATTGTCCATAGACGAATAATTAACAGGTAAGTGGATCAAAGAACGTATGGAAACGTCAGTACAATGCTTGTCAGAAATATTATGTAAACCAAAATCTGAAGGTTAAGTTTATAAAATTTTTTACTGTTAAACTCTTGGTAGGTAGCAAGTGGACTTTGGTGCAGATGTTTAGTGGTTTCATGGGCACTTAATTTTTCTTACACACACAACAACAACAACAATACAACGCCATTAAATCTTGAAGTTGGAAGGAATCTCAGAATTTGATCTAACAGTCCCACTTGATCAGGAATTGCACCTATAAGATCCCTGTCAAATTGAACCCTACATTTCTGCTTGAACAATTCTGCCTACAGAGGGCACACTCTCTTGTGAGATGGTTGTACTTACTGGAAAGTTTCTCCTGTATATGATCTGAAATCTGACCTCCAAGAAGCTTCCACTCATGGATTCTCCAACGGCAGCTTCTGCATTGCAGCCTGTTTGGGTGAGACCAGGCCCCACCATAGGTGCCATCCTCTGGATCAGCCTTCCTCAGAGTCACTGGATCTGAGACGACACTAGGAGACACAGCAGTGGTAGGCCAGGCCTTGCTTTGCCCAGGAAGAGGCTGGCTGAGACCGAGGAGGCCTCAGGGGCTGGCCAGGGCTGTTCCAGCAATCAGTGGTAGCAGCACCAGCACTAAAATCCAAGTCTTCTAACTTCCCAGGCCAGGGCATTTCCTACCATGTGCCACCACTTTCTTCCCCTTTGCTTCATCACAGAACATGGTTGTTGGACCCTGACCCTGGCCTCCAGGGTCTAGGTGCTTCGTCCTGGGCCTTACAGATTGGTGACCAAATGTGCAGGACCTGCAGACCAGCAGGCTGTGGTCTGCCTGGAGCAGGTGCCACTGATGACAGACCTTCTTAAACAAGACTCTGTGGAATTCTGTTAGTGGGGCTCCCCCAGCAGCCTCTCACAGGGATGCACATGCTGAGCCTGGAGCCAGCCAAATCCCAAGCCGTTCCCAGAAATCTACTCCCAAAGCCCACTCTCTAGCCCCACACTTGGACATTTGTTGGTTGGTTTGGTTCGTTTTGCTTTTTTAATTATTCTTTTTTTTAAAACAAATGTGTGGTAATTTCATTAATCCCTCTACATTTCTTTTTTTTTTCTTTCCTTCTTTCCTTCCTCCCTCCTTCCCTCCTTTCCTCCCTTCCTTCCTTCCCATGCCCCTTCCTTGAACTCATGTAGAACTTTTTAAAAAAACCTGGTTCTGTCATCTAATACGTGAGCCCTCCTCCCAGCTCGTGTCATTTGGTAATCATACTTCCTGGGTCTTGTTTCAGGCTATTGGGAAGGGGGATATTTTTTAAATGTTGGACAGGACAGGAATAAGAAACAGAATCTTCCCTCCAGGTTGACAACTATACATTTATCAGAACTTTTGGAATTTAGTTGTTCAACTATAAATCCCCCTAACTGTACTATCAGCTAGCCCTCACAGCTGCTGTCTGTGTTGAAGCATATTATAAGAGATTTTGTCAGATTTCAAACTGGACTCAAAGTTCACTGTGCTCTTAACATGGTTGAAAAGGGGAGGCAGGAATGTGAGTTGGTTTGGCCCTCCATGCTTTGTATGATGCAGTCAATTCCCAACTTAAAAAAAAAAAAAAGAAAACTGCTAAAATAAACAAATAGTTTCCATTTAGAATGTCTTGAAACTGGAGCATTTTTATGAAAGTCTTATAAAGCCATTGTGTTTAGCCACATCGAGCATTTTATCCTAAACAGACAAAATGCAATAATGCGTTTGCTCTGATTGTCCCATTCTCTTTGGTAAGCTGGTCATCCTTAAATGATGGTTGTTTCTGAACCCTACCTACTGGCTATTGGCCACTCCATTGGGGATGACCAGGATGAGCTAGGAATTCACTGGGTATGATGGGTAGTAAAAGTGACATGGATGAAGGGAGGTTTGGTGGTGCCAATCCAGAACATCTAAACCACAGAGCTCTGGGTTCAAATGAAGTCCTTAGCAGGAGTCCTGTACGTAAAACTGATTAAAGTGGGGATGTCTTGTGGAAGAATATTGTCCGATATAGTGCTGGAAGACGAGCCCATTAGGTTGGAAGGCACTCAAAACATGTGGTGGCCACAACGATGGACTTGAACATACCAACAATAGTGCAGAACTGGGCAGCGTTTTGTTCTATTGTACGTGTGGTCGCCATGAGTTGGAGCCAACTCTACAGCAACCAACAACAGCATCCTGTTGAAATGCAAATGGTGGACTTAGAGCCCCAGTGGTTGTGCTTTGCCTCTTTGTTCTTTGAAACTGAAGGCTTGCCATTACTGTTTTTTCATTGCAGATTCCACTCCTTTTTGCTCTTTATGGGCCATCCACCGTACGCGATTCGGGAGGTGAACATAAACAAGTTCTGCAGGATCATTAGTGAATTTGCACTAGAGTATCGCACGACTAGGGAGAGGGTTTTGCAGCAGAAGCAGAAGCGGGCCAACCACAGAGAGAGGAATAAAACCAGAGGGAAGATGATCACTGATGTAAGTTTCATAAACCTCACCACAATTTGGAGGCTGTGCATTTTTTTTTCTCCTGTGACTTTTTTTTTCTCCTGTGACTGTGGGGGAAAAAAATCCTTCTTTTAAAAAAGTAATTTTAAGCTGTTCCTCCACCATTTCTTTGAAAATCTGCTGCATAACAAAGGAGCATCTCAGGCATTTAAAATTCAAGAACTGATTTGGGAACGGATTCAGGATTTTATTCATCCTAACAATGCTATATAACCAATGAGTTGACACGTGGACCACCCATTTAGGCAGCTGAACAGAGAAATAATTGACATGATTCCTCAGAAGACATAATCTGATGAGCTCTTGGCAGCCTCCTGAGTCACAGAATAGCAGGGTGGGAAGAGATCCCACAGGACAGTGATTCAGCAGGAGTTTCCCAACAGCACCTTCGGGTAGCCATGCACACTACATGTCTCCCTTGCTCCTGGGCTCTTCGCCCATCTCCAGCACTCAGGCCTGAGCCTGCCCAGGAGTTGGGTGCAGTGAGCACTCAGATGGGAACTGCTCGGTAAGTGGAGAGTGAAGGGATGCACGAAGGTACCAGAGACAGACAATGATACAAAGTGCAGGTCCTTTTTTCTGACGTGCTTTCACAAAACGTGAAAACCAAGTTGGTGTCTCACCTATCTACTAGTAAGCTCTCAGCTCCCTTACAAGCAAAAGGGAGACGTTTTTGGGGAATTCTCCCTTACTATTTATTCTTACTAGAGTAGACTCAAGGAGAGTAAAATCATCTTTTTTGATACTATAGATCATACTTGGGATCTTCAGCAGGATTTTTTTTCGTTTTTGAGTTGATGCCCACAACCTTAATCCTTCCATGCATAGATCTGAGAAACACACAGGCTGTCACTGATAACAGGGAATCGAACCAGTACAGGACGAAGCCATAGGGAGTGCCATCATCCTGGAGGCTGCAAATCTCAACTGAATGCAAACCAGGCAGATTTTTTGAGGGAAAAATAAAAGCAATTAAGAAGATCCCATTGAGGCTGCTTTCTGTGCTCAGATGTGTGTTTGTATTGTACAAAGGACACATGGTTACCGCTCCCTAAGAGTTTGTATTCCTGAGGGATGTGACCTTCACAGAGACCCAGACTCATTAACTTAAAAAGTGTGTTGCAATTTTAAGGCAATTCTGAGGAGAACCAGGAACTAATCTCCTCACCATCTATTTCCACCCAAATCCCTTGTTTCTTTGGAATTTTCTAGAACCTCAGGGATGCTCAGACACTTTTCTGTAGAAGGAGCATTTTCTACCTCCTTCCGGCAGTTCTGAATGCCATTGCCACCCAGCTGAGTCTTCCTTCTCTTCTCCAGAAATCTGGGTTCAATATAGGATCTTCAACCTCTTGGAGGACAGCAACCAGAAAGCAAATTGCATCCACTTGGGCAAACTGTGGCCCACATTTCATTTCAAAGGATTATTTTTAAAAGTTTTAAAAACGGATCACTTATTTTTCTGGAAATGAGACACATTGGAGGGTGAAAAATACAAGTCCAATATGCTTATAGTTATGAAAACATAAAAAATTGTTGCCAAATTCTTCAGATTTTTAAAGATCCCACTAATTTATTAGTTCTGCCTTTCTCTGAAAACATCTGACTTTCCTAGTTACAAATGTTTCTAGATTTTGATTCAAAAATATTTAAATTCCCATTAAAATCTGGACAGTATAGACTACTTTGGGGTTCATTTTCAGGGTAGCACGTATTTTTTAGTTATAAAGGTGGCGTCATTTATGTAGAAAGATTGCCATCTGCTGGGAGATTAGGAAATTATCACTCATGGCAAAGTGTAGACTCAAGTTTTCCCAATTCTCAATGCACTGGGCACTGAGAAAGATGGGAGGGCAATAAAAGACAAGGCTATACCCCAAGGAATTCACAACCTATTGCAAAAGCAACATATACACAACTTAAACCATCGAACACAAAACCAGGAAAGATTTAGACTCATGCAGCCCCTGAACATAAGAGCTAAAAGAGATTTTTGAGAAAACTGTGTGTAGTAAGTTATGTTTAATGTAATCTACTGCAAGAAAAATGATGACTGAAGTAATAACTATTAAGCAGAGAGACGATTTTAGAAAAACCATCGTTTTCTAAGACACAGAGATGTCTGGGTAAAATCTGAAGACCCTACACTTAGAGAGTCAGCCCCATCTCAGCTCCTGAGTGGCCATTATTCTCTTCTCTCCCTCTCGCTTAGCTTGTGAAAGGCTTTCTTTCTCATTACCCAGAGGTCCCCCCAGGTAAGGGTCAGTAAGAAACTAAGTGATGCCTTATCCTGGTAGCCAAAACTGGTTCTAGACAAAAGGTTGAGATAGACGAGGCAACACTGTTGCTTCCTCTGGCCCTTTCTGTTGCTGTCATACTCCAGATGGGTAGTGAGAAAACAGACTGGTAAATTCCAGACACTGCCCATAGAGGGCTGGGGGAAGAGGGGATGGGTAACCCTGCTTGAGACACCCAACCTCTCTTAACCCCAACTTCCTCTTCTATGAAAAGGGAAGAATTACTTTTGAGGGTACCGAGGGGGCACGAGCTTTTGTGTATGCAGCACCTTGAATGTGTGCTAATTGCTGAAAAATGCCAACCATCCTGGTTAAATAAACTCTGAGATAAAAAGTTAGTGGAGCAAGACTGTCATCTCTTGTCACAGTGCCATTGGGTTTAGGCAGCATGGAAGATGATGAACTGAAGCATTTTATCATTGGAGCTTCCAAAAGCTTAGTCAGTTCTCAAAAAACTTGTGTCTGATTTGCTGGCCTGGCCTTGTAACCTGGGTGAAAACGCTTAAATTGAGGGCATGTTTTGTTTAAAGTTGAAATCCTTACATGCTTTTTCATCCTCAGTTTATTTTTAGAGAAAGGATATTTAAAGAATAAAAGAACCAAAGGATCTCATCTAAAAGGAGTTGAATGACAGTCCTGTTTTATTGCTTACTGTTACCGGATTTCCAGATTAGACCTCCTCATTTACTTGACATTATGTAGAAAGAATAAGAGTGTTCATACATCTCTATAAGCATTTGTATTTGTCTTTTCTTTATGTTTTAGATAGCTCCTGGAATCATGCTTTTTTTTTTTTCTAGAGTCATGCATTGTTGAATGACATTATTTTCTATTTCTTAAATATAAATGTTTTAGAAGTGTTATTTTTTAAACTTTTCCCGAAGAAGAATAAGTCACTATTTCCAAGTTAGCAGCCACCAGAAATAGTCTAAATTTTTCTGTGTGTTTTCATTTTCCTTGTATTTTTGAGGTCTGTGTGGGAGCCCACCTCTGCTCTAAGAACATCTGTACAGCTTCTACCTGCCATCGACCAGGTCCTCCCATCAAATTCAAATGGAAGCAGAAAATGCTTTCATGAATGTGAAAAAAAAAAAGAAGTTTATCTAGTGATAAAGTAATTTAAAGTACATGGTATCAGTCAGATGCCCATCATGGGGACTGCGTGAGATTTGAAAAGAACTGAATTCCATGTTTTTGAGGAGAGACTAATATGAAACATTCTGCTTGGGTAGTTCTTCTATTTGTCCTATCTTGCCTGTGTGTGGCAGAGTTAACTGTAGCCCAGACCAGGCAACCTGGGCAAGGAGAGGCCCAGCACCTGAGAGGGACCACAGCTGATGAGGATGGACAGGCAAATGAAGAGGGCTCCACTTCCCGAGGCCCTGATGACCAGAGGTGGCAGTGGGTACAGCAGGACGCGGCCAGCCATGTGGCAGGGCACAGAGCTGGGGGTGAGGTCTACAGTGGTTGGGGTACCAGGCAAACTGGTTATCAACATCATGGGCAGTGTTCAGGGAGAAAATGGCCCCAGGGGTTGGCCTTGGAGCTCGTAGAGGGAGTATCCAGACAAAGAGGGCCTGGCAGCCCCCACATCAAGAAGGTGTACCTGGTTGTGGTGGCCAGTTTCTTGGAATTTGACATGACACTGAGATGATCTCACCTTTGCTGACTTCTGTGCCTTCTAAGAGTCCCTTCTATCTTTTCTGTTCTGTCCTGTCCTCTCGGGTAGACTGATGAAGAGGATGAAGTTGAGGTACGACTGCTTAGAAACAAGACAAACCCCACATTTGATCTCCCCATGAGTGTGGTTGAGTCTAAACTAACATAAGCAGCATGAAGTGCCTGCACCATTCAGTGCTTTGAACCATGCACATGTACTTTACTGTTGGTTTTTGTGTGAGCACTAACCGTGTGTGTGTGCCAGGGACTGAAGGGCTAACTACATATTCCATGCTGTCTGGGCATATCCCTGAGTCTCAGGCTAATCAGTAGCTCTGTGAAGAGTGGCAGGTATAGTGGGTCTCTCCCTACTGCTAGAAAAGTGGACAAAGAATTTTCCCTCCAACCCCTGCCTCAGCCTCGTGGCAACTCAGATATGAGAACCTGATCTAGAATAGCCACAGAAAGAGCCCTAAACCCAAAGAGGAAGTAGGGCAGCAGCTAAGGGCCAGGCCCGAGCTGTCCCCAGCCTGTGGGTGGCCTCTGACCTGGGCCCCTTTTCTCCACTGGCATCCATGGATCCATGAGTATGCGGTGGAGGGTTGGCAGGTGCTTCTCCTGCTGAACCTGGGTACAAGTACTGAGACCAAATAGGGGCCAGTTGGCCCCAGAAAGTGAGGAGGGTGCTGTGCAGATGGTACAACTCACAGATATGTCCTGGGCTCTGCTGCCATGGCTGAGACACTGGAGGAGAAGAGGAAGCCAGGCATCTATGAAGCTGTTTGCAAACACTAATCTAACTGACTTTTATTTTTTGTCCAGATGTTTGACATTGTGTACATAAGGCCCAGCGTTTTAGCATACCTCTTGTAAAACATATATGGCTCAACTCTTTGTCCAGTTAGTATTAGGAATATCATCCTGTGTTTGTAATGCTTATTAAAACAACTACATTTTTGACACAATCAGAAGTAGTGAGTATTGCCAAACTCAGTTTCAGCATGAATATCAGTGTCATGTTCTGGTCTGGGCCCTGACACTAACCCCTTGGGGCCTTTGGCAAGTCATTTAATTTAATCTCAGAGTGCCTCTGTTTCCTTCTCTCTAAAGTGAGGTGGGTCTGGATCTGGGAAAATCCTTCCCAGCTCTTAACATCGTATATGATTCTGTGATTGCACCCCACTTTTAAAACTCCATCATCAGTGATATGTAAGAAAAGTTTAACTACTTCCTAGCACAAAAAAAAAACTCAATACATTTGATTAAAGGCATATTTTGATTCTTTTACCTGGCCTTTTCATACCACAGCTTTGGTTAGGAACAAATTTGATCTTCGAGTTCTTCCCAGAGTTGATTGAGTCACACCTAGCTGACGCCCACTGAGGCAGTCCCAGTGAAGTGAGAGAGACCCACTACAATGGAAGGATGGGGTGGTAGGCTTTCTGGGGCCAGAGGCTTTTTTTTCTGATAAGAGAACTTCCTCCATACACAGATGGTTTGCCCTCAGTTAATTGGCAACCTTGGTGACTACCATAACTGATATGTGTGGAGCATGCACCCAAACCAAAAAGACAGAGACAGAAGAGAAGTTTTTCCTGAGCTAAAAGTTTTATAAGTTTGAGTTAGCCTTTTGGGGATTCTACCACACATCCTAACTCCTACTTGGTTTTGCAGTCTGGCAAGTTCTTGGGCAGTTCTCCGGCACCTTCAAGCCAACCACAGGGACTGAGCTATGCTGAGGATGCAGCCGAGCATGAAAACATGAAGGCTGTGCTGAAAACCTCATCCCCCGCCACAGAGGATGCCACCCCCGTGCTGGGGGTCCGCACACGCAGCAGAGCAAGCCGAGGTAACTCCTGGTCAGGGTGGGGCTTGTCTTCTCAGGTTGTCCATCGTGGGAGTCTAGTCTCCATCACAGGGTACATATTACAACCTTAGTAATAATGTTACCTACCAAGGACCATTAACTCCCCAGGGCTTTCATTGCTGACATAATCACACACTTTCCAGACCCATTTTCAAGAGCTTCATCCCAAATCCAAACAACACTGTTTGGAACTGTTATTGTGAGTTAATCCTCATAGATTAAATCAGCGGACAGCGAACTACGGCCCACAGGCCAAATTTAGCCCGCTGCCTGGTTTTGTAAATAAAGCTTTATTGGAACACAGCCACTCTTATTTATTTGCATATTGTCTATAGCTGCTTTTACACTACAGCTGCATTGTTGAGTAGTTGTGACAGAGACTATATGGCCCTCAAAGCCTAAAACATTTACTATCTGACCCTTTGCAAAAAAAGTTTGCCAGCCCTTGGATTAAAGCACTACCCCTTTTTGTCTGTTTTAAATACTCAAAGGCAGAGATGAAAATAAAGCTTCAAGGTGATAAAGACAGGTTGGAGTTTCCAGATCTGTTTTATGTATAACTTGGAAGGAGTCTTTTATTTTAATTAAGAATTAAGATGCGTTTTCTATCTGAGAATGTTTACTTGTGTTTCCCTGGTCTTGGCTGCTATGCACTGGTACCATATTAACCCTCCTCAGTTTCCTCACTGTCTGCGGGATAAAGCCTAAACCCATCATGTGTCATTTGAGGCCCTCTGCAGTCTGGTCCTATGCTGTCTCTCAAACTTTGTTTTACTTGTCCCCACATTGTTGGTACCACCTTGTGTATCCCTGAGTCCCACTTGTTCCTCATGCTGTTGTCTGACCTTAGAATGCCCTTCTTCTCTATCTGTCCAGTTCCCATTCACCTCCAGAGACCCTCTCCTCCAAGCAGTCCTTAACTCGCCAGACCACTCTTCCTTTTGATGTACTCCTGAGACCCCAGTTTAGCCCTACTGAAGATTATAAATTTTAAAATTAAAGATTATAAGCTCTTGGAGGATGGGCTTTCTCCTCTTGGTGTTTATTTAGCACACACAGTGCACACAGCTAGAGAAACCATATAATTTACTGCCCAAACTGAGATGCTTTGGAGTGTGAAAGGGTGCAAGTAATAATTAAGCTGGACCAATACATAAAACCAGACATGCCGGGTAAACTGGATGATGGGTTACCTGACAGATGGCATAAACTCAGTAATGAATTAATGAATGTAGTGCCCACCAGGTGTCTTCACAGGCTCTAGTGGACATTCAAAGTCACAAGACGACAGAAGGGCAGCTAGAATCTATAGGGCTGCAATCTGGGGAAACTCCTGAGGAGGCCCATCGGTGACTTCTAGTTGACTGCTTAGTGACCGGTGCTTTTGGAATTTTACTACTGTCAACTATTTTAAATAGATAAAAATAAGGGTAAATAAATTACATTCCAAGTTTTCTTCAGAAGAGGGTGGGTCATCATTACACAATGCATACGGTTTCCTGGAGCTTCTTGTAAACCAAAGGGCTACAAACTGCCGATCCAGGGAGGGGATCTTGAATGAGCTCCAGGCTGTCTTCTAGACTCCTAAGGTTTGTGTGGTATTCTCAAGCACAGCTGTACTTCAGGCTTTTAACACTAAAATTATTGAATGGTTTTCTTATTTTGTGTTAGTACAGTATTACTGTACTTCTCTTCATCTGTCTAAATGTTGGACTTTAGTCTTTACCATTTAACAGGGCTTCTATTTCAATATGCAACTGAGAGTATGCCAGAAGAAGGGCAGCCTCTCTGTCTCCTCCACACCCTCCCACTTTTACACCAACTAAGATACAGATGACTGAGTAGAAAACTCATATTTCTTAATACAACCTTGATTACTAATCGATACCCTGGATCTTTGCATATATTATTGTGATATCAAAAGATCAAATATTAGGGTCTCTTGGATTCCTCCTTTCTAAACCCTCTGCCTTCTAGGTAGTTTCAAATATTGCATTAGGTAGAAAAAATTGAAGTGTTATTATGCTTTGGCAATAAAAAGGCAGCCTTTTAGTGGTCACTAGCAGACAGACATAACTGAGAGGAACCAAAGCACTGGCATTTTACATGGTACATTCTGATTGTCTGGTTGGCTACGTAGAAGGAAAAGCACCCTCTTCTTGCCTGTGCTGTCTGTAAAAGACATCCATTTCTCAGAAAAGCTGAGAAGTGATAGGAGAGAAGGTGTGTAAACAAGAAAGAATATAAAAGGAAAGAAGTAAGTAGCAGAGGCCAGAAAGTGAAGGGGAAAAGTATCATTAAATGTTATGTTGTTAGGTGCTGTCGAGTCAGTTCTAGTCCTGCACCATCCTCACAATCGTTGCTATGTTTGAGTCTGTTTTTGCAGCCACTGTGTCAACCCATTTCATTGAGGGTCTTCCTCTTTTTCACTGACCTCTACTTTACCAAGCATGATGTCCTTCTCCAGGGACTGGTCCTTCCTGGTAACATGTCCATGTAAGTGAGACGAAGTCTTGCCATCCTCACTTCTAAGGAGCATTCTGGCTGTACTTCTTCCAAGACAGATTTGTTTGTTCTTCCGGCAGTCCACGATACATTCGGTATTCTTCACCAACACCATAATTCAAATGCATCAATTCTTTTTCGATCTTCCTTATTAATTGTTCAGCTTTCATAGCATATGAGGTGATTGAAAATACCATGGCCTGAGTCAGGCGCCCGATAGACCTCAAAAATGACATCTTTGGAATGTACGAAGTATGAATCAAGGAAAATTGCAAGATGTCAAAAATGAGATGGAACACTTGAAGATCAATATCCTAGGCATTAATGAGCTGAAATGGACTGGTATTGGCCATTTTGAATCAGACAACTACATGGTCTACTATGCCGGGAATGACAAACTGATGGCATCGCATTCATTGTCCAAAAGAATATTTCAAGATCTATCCTGAAGTACAATACTGTCAGTGATAGGATAATAATCCATACACCTACAAGGAAGACCAGTTAATGTGACTGTTATTCAGATTTACACACCCACCACTAATGCCAAAGATGAAAAAAATTGAAGATTTTTACCAACTTCTGTAGTCTGAAATTGATCAAACATGTAGTCAAGAGGCAGTGATAATATCGGTGACTGGAATGCGAAAGTTAGAGACAAAAAAGAAGGATCAGTAATTGGAAAATATGTCCTTGGTAACAGAAATGATGCTGGAGATCACATGACAGAATTTTGCAAGACCAGTGACTTATTTATTGGAAATACCTTTTTTCAACAGCATGAACAATGACTATACATGGACCTTGCTGGATGGAATACACAGTTATCAAATCAACTATCATTAAATAGTGAGCAATAGATACCATCAGCTAGAAAAAGCATAAAACAAGGATAAGCATAAAATAGCTTTGCAGTGTTGCAGAGGGTTGAGAGGGAAGTACTTGTACCTTGTGATACCAGAAGGGCCTGTGTGAGTCTCTCTGTGCCCCGGCAGCTTCTGCAGACTTTATGCGCTAGGCCAAAGGTAGCCATCAGGAAGTTCAAGGAAAGCATTATTACCTCCACTCTGGGGACCCCAGCCATCAGGCAGGAGTCTTGAGGACCCATACCTTGGTGTATGCAAGGGCAGTGCAATGGAAGCTGTCTTGGGAGATGGAGTCCAGTATCTCTTTAAAGGAACATAAACAGGTTGTGCTAATTTTAAAAGAGAACACAGACATCTGTTCCAGACTGGAAAGGACAAATAGAAAAATGTTGCTGCTGAATTTGTACAATATGGATTTATTTTTGCTGACTGATGAAACAGATTATAAAAGGAGGCTGTTCACTATCTCTGCACATTCACACCCATCTGAAGGAGACTTCTGCTTCCAAGTGGCATGTAGTAGATGGTGGCAAACCATCACTCCTGCTATGACAAATAAGGGGAGAAAAAGAGGGATAAAATATAAAAGCCTGCTTTTAAAAGACATCAGACAACTGGGAAAAGAAAGAGGACTAGACAACCTAGAATTCCAGAGAGGGAAGAACCCTTCTAGGTGATCTGAGATCACCAGCCATTTGGTTCCCTAGGAACATTTGCGAAGCTTGGGCACACGCTGAGGATTGGGCTTGCTATGGGCACAGCAACTCTAATGGGAAAGAGAAATCAACAGAACAATTACTATCCGTGTGGGTTGGCATAAGAGATTGGAATCTAGAGTATCCCAAAATGTAGACAGTTTTCTCTAGAAGACAATTGCATGAGGAGGCTGCGCCAGAAAGGCAGAGGGAAATCTGCAGTCTTGCAATACTGAGGAAACAAAGGTATGCTCAAGTGAGCACTTGCAACAGATACACAAATAGAGATCTCAGCCTCAAGGTGTTTAAAGTCAGAGGTGGACTGATTCTTAAACTTCAATCTGGCCCCAGCCCAGCTCAGCACCTCGCCCTATCTGCCCAACAGTGGAAAGGGTGAGGACTCTGGGGGAAAATAACATGGATTTTAGTCCCTACATTCTTTTATACCCAAAGCCCAGTTCATAGTCAAAATTACAAGCCAAGAGAAGAACAAGAAAATGTGACTGACAATCAAGAAGGAAAGCAGACAATAGCAGCAGACCCACAGGTGATTTAGATGTTTGAATTTGCAGCAAGAACTTAAAATAATCGTCATAAATAAGTTAAAGGAAAACACAGGCAATAATGAATAAAAAAGTGGATAATTTCAATGGAGAATTGAAATACATATATAAAAAGAATCAAATGCACATTCTAGAACTGCAAAATAAAATATCTGAAATAAGGAACTCATTTGATGGGTTTAACAACAGACTAAGGAGCCCTGGTGGCACAGTGGCTCAGCTGCTAACTGAAAAGTTGGCAATTCGAACCAGGGCTTCCCCAGGTGATTTTTATGTATAACTTCCTTGGAACTTGTTAGAAATGCAAATTCTCAATAGAGGTTCAAACTGGAACAAACTGGTTTGAAGCCCTGGTTCGAACCCACCAGCTGCTCCACGGGAGAAAGATGTGGCAGTCCGCTTCAGTAAAAATATACTGCCTTGGAAACCCGATGGGGCATTTTCATTCTGTCCTGTAGGTTTGCTATGAGTCGGAATCGACTTGACAGCAACTGGTAACAGCAGGCTAGTCACAGCAAAAGAGAAGATTAGTGAACTAAGGTTAATAGAAAATGTACAAACTGAAGCATGGTGAGAAAAATTAGAAAACAGAAAAATATATGAGACATGTAGGATGCAGTCAAATGGTCTAACATATGTGTAATTGTAGTCCCAGGTGGAAAGGAAAGAGAGGATGGATAAGAAAAAACATTTGAAGAGGTAATGTCTAAAATTTTCCAAACCTGTGAAAGATATCAACCCAGATATTTAAGAAATGTAGGAAATCCCAGGCAGAATAAATACAAAGAAAACCATACTAAGGCACACCATAATAAACTACTAAAAGTCAAAGAAAAGATAAAATCTTATAAACAGCCAGAGAGAAAAGATAATGTTCCTGTCTGAGGAAAAACAGTAAGAATGATGGCTCACTTTTCAACAGAAACTGTGGAAGCCAGAAGAAAATGGAATGACATTTTTAAAATGCCAAAAGAGAAAGCTCCTAACCTAGAAGTCTGTACCCAGGGAATTATCTTTCAGAAAGGAAGGCAGACTTTTTTATATTAAAACAATATATATTTTGACATAATTATTTTCCTTTTAGACTATTTCTTTAGGTTAGATTTCTAGAAGGAAAAAATAAATTATAGCATTATATTTTAAACCATGATTTCCATATTTTCAAAAATGAAGGCAAAATAAAGTGATGTGAGGCTATCACGGTCTAGAATGTTTTATCCCCTTCACCATGTCTTAGGACGTAGAATGTCCTGCTAACACCTGGGAGACTGTAGGGAGCCAAATGGCCATTTGGGTCTGTGAAAAGTGTGTTCCTCTGATGGCTATATGTGGATGCTGTGGTTCCAAGAACAGAAACATATACATGACCAGGAAGAATGTGCATAAATGGTAACCAGGAAGTGGGGATAGTAGTCAAGGGGAGAGGGAATAAAAAAGCAGAACCAGGAATGAAGTCATGAGGTAATGAAGTCTTCACAAAACTGAGTGTGACAATCCTGGGCAAGATGTTCCTTTTAAGCATCCCCTGATACATCTTACTATAGTGAAATTGGATCCCTAGGGATGTGTAGGATGGGCACTATGACTGTTTCTCAGTGGGAAGATCAGATGATGCCTTCGTTTCTGGCCCAGCACTCTGAAAATGTTATTACGAGCAAATACAATTGATTGAGCTGTGTGTGTTTTTGGAAGGGTGGTTTGGCATTTCAAAATTAGACACAGAATTGTAAATCAATAGGTAAAAGGGAAAACAGGAAATTGCTGGGCAAAACACAATTGCATTATCAATTGCTGTACTCTAAGTAAGGCCGTTGTTCAGAGGCCTACAGAGTCCCAGTCTGAAAGCTGTGCCATGTGAGGCCCCTCACCTTCAATTAGAACATTTAGGCCATCCTGAGAGTGCAGGAAAATTCAGCAGCAATTTTAAAAAAACAAAAAACAAAAACAAAACTTATTTCTGAGAAAAGCCTATTTTCTGAAGGGTTTTATGATGTGCAAGTTTATCAAGTACCCTTAGAAGCCCTGGTGGCATAGTGGTTAAGCGCTGCAGCTGTTAACCAAAAGGTTGGCAGTTCAAATCCACCAGGTGCTCTTTGGAAACTGTGGGGCAGTTCTACTCTGTCCTGTAGGGTCACTATGAGTTGGTATCAACTTGACAGCAATGGGTTTTGTTTTTTGGTTCTTGGGTTTAAGCAGAAAAAGTACAATTTACTGTGTTTACATAAGTCAGTGCTGTGGAGATGCTCTCATTAAAAAAATAAACAGATTTTTAAAACTATATCATCAGCAGCAGCAACAAAAAACCTTACCATTAGAAAATGATTGTCCAATAACCACAGGTCTCAGATGCGTGCAGGTAATGGAGCACCTGGTGCTTCTTTTGAAATGTGTGAATTATTTATGCATTTAATTCAGTCATTCAAATTGCATTAGCAGAAATTGTGACTAAATTATAGTCATATTATACATTTGCAGTAAAATCTGAACCACAAACACACATGTCTTTGAAAATCGGAGACCACTGAACTGTGATCTGTCCCCAGCTATTTTCACTGATGCCCATTTGCTCTCTGTTCATTCATTACCAACCAGGCGATTGCAAGCACCAGCAGTTTTTAAAATTAGTATGGGAGAACTCAAATTTTTAAAATATGTGTTTATTAACATTTTTTTCCCCTGTGAGTTCGGAACCGCTGGCTGTTCTTCACCTTTGCTTGGACCTTAGTCAGACTCCTGGGTACCTGTGTTCCATAGGTATAGAGTTTAAGAACCCTCACTTACAGACTTTTGAAGTTGGACTTTATTACAAAATGAAGTGTAGGTAGAAGAGCTTTTGAATGTATTTTCCATATTTCCTCTTATGGAAGCACATTTACCATCTTAGAGCAGAGATTTCATCAAGAGGTTGATCTGTCACAAAGTACTTGATATATTAAAGTAGCATAATTTCTAACTGTTTAGCATTCCTTGGGAACCTATATTTTGGTGGTGCTTTCTTCTTGTCTATCAGCAGATGCCTTTATGCCAGACTTGGACTGTCTTAATGTATAGTTGTTTACAAACATATTTTTCTGGTCAGGGAGAAATGTATGTGAACTCCCTCCTTGCTAGTTGAAGAGGACAATCCTGTGGTGATTTTTAAATGGGTAGATAATCCAAAGACAGACTATTATAAAATCCATTGGTTTCTATTTAACTTAACAAGAAGTCAGGGCTCATTGATATTCACTAGGCACGTTGTTGTTAGTTGCCATCCAGTTGATTCCCACTCATGACGACCCATGTGTGCAGAGTAGAACTGCTCCATAGGGTTTTCAAGGCTGTGACCTTTCAGAAGCAGGTCTCCAGGTCTGTCTTCCTAGGTGCCTCTGGGTGGGTTTGAACCACCAGCCTTTTGGCTGATAGTCAAGCGCTTAACCATTTGCAGCACCCAAGAAACATCTGCTTTGATAAATCCCTCCGTCTCTGATTCAAATGTACATCACTGGACATCAGTGATGTGCACAGCAGGGTGCAGTGTTGGTCATCTGCTGCAGGCAATTGAGACAATCGTAGGACCCGGCAGGTGGAGTCAACACATACAGGGCCAAAAGTTAAGCAGAAATAAGAGACAAGAACACAGCTATGTTACAGGGTAGTATGAAGTAAGTGCCTCAAGTATGTGTTTGTGGGAGTTCAGAGCCTGGCGGGTAATGGTCACAGTGTGTCCCCCTCCAGTGCAGAAGGGTTAGGGCTCTCGGTCTGTCAGGCTGAAGCTCTAACTCTGACTTTGCTATAATCTGTTGCTGGCAGAACTCGGGCTTCTGGAGGAGTGGTGCTGCATATTTTCTTTTGTGTTTTCTTCACCTTGAGCCCATTGCACTGTCTGCTTGTTTGATTCTTCAGGATCCACTAGTTCATGGACTATGGGAATGGATGACTCGCCTAACGTCACAGACGACGCGGCTGATGAGATCATGGACCGCATTGTCAAGTCAGCCACCCAAGTGCCCAGTCAGCGAGTGGTGCCTCGGGAGAGGAAGCGGTCCCGAGCCAACAGGAAATCTTGTGAGTGTACTGGAGGAGTGATAAGGGGCTCATCCTGCTGGGATGTGCCCTCTCATTCTATGTGCCTCAGGGAAGGGCAGCCACTCTGAGGCCAGCTCCCAACTAATTGTCTGTGGCTGCCTGGAGTGTTCACCTGCACTCATCAACAAAACCTTTCATGCTTGATTATCACTGTTGGCAGTTGTGGAGGAGGGGAGCTGCAGCCACACCTGTCCAGTGTATTTGCCATTTCTGCCAGGCCTCCTCAATTCACACTTTTTCCCCAGGAAGGGCTAAAAGAACAGTAAATGTCACTGGGGTTCAGGGGTGGGCCCAGTAGGGACCATTGTCGCATATTGCCTCAGGTGCTTTGCTAGAGGCTGTATTTCTGCCCCTCACCCAGGATCAGGGCCACTTACTGGGCTGGAGGCTGGTTCTTCCTGGTTCAGAGGCTGTGTCTACACTGTTGCCCACAAACATACTGAAGGTGAAAAAACAGAAATAGTGAAGGATTTTTATGATCACTGGGGTGCTTAAAAACATTTAATGTTAGTCAAAGTTGACCTTTTTTTTTTTTTTTCTTTTCCTGCCAAATAGAGGATTCAACTAAGTCAAAGTGATGGTTTTTTCCTTCAGTCTGAGTTTACTGCTTGCTCCTGCCCACTGAATTGGTGTGGGTGGTGTTGGCCTTTGTAGGTACGGTGCGAACTTACAGGGACCGTTCTCCATAGGGAAATCACGTTCTTTCAGATCTTCTAACATCTGCCTGCACTAGCTGGTGTTTCAGAAGAGAGCCCACCTCCAGCTTCAGCATGCTGGGTCACCCAAGAGACAGGGGGAGTGTGTCTCCACCAGCTTTGCCTGTGGGATAAGATGATGACTAGGAAAGGGGTTTGTGGCAAGTGGCAAGAAGGGAGCCTAGTTACCTCCCCCATTCTTCTGGCTCCAAAAAGTGCAGGTGGAGTGATTGCAAGCAGGTAGGGAGGTCAGTAAGAACTGAAGCTTAGAGAGACCCTCAACTTGTTCTACCTCTGAGATTCACACAGGAGGTGATTGGGGTTTGGGCTGCATACATTGGGCCCAGTGGTTCTGTTTGACCCACTGACATGGCTTGTTTCCAGGGTGGTTGTTACTCCTTTTACATGATCTGCTTTAACTTCTGATTGGAATTTTTCTTCAGAAAAGAAAATAACACTTGATGACTCTACCAGAAAGAAGCAGAGCTTCTCAAACCCCCAGAAGCCTGTGGAAAAGTGGTTCTCCTTCAGGAGGTCAGGTTGGGTTGCGAGGCTATTTCTGACAAGCTTCCAGACGAGGTGGATGTCACTGGTCATTGGCCTGTCCGCATTTTGAGTAACAAATGGTGGTTCTCAACTGTGGCTACATGTTAGAATCTTTTAACCAAAACCGAACCAAACCTGTTGCCATCAAGTCTATTCCAACTCATAGAATCTTTTATAGAGCTTTAAAATTCCAGGTGCCTGGGCTGCCCCAGGCCAACTACTTCAGAACCTTGGGTTGGGGCCCTGAGGTCTGGCCCTGCCCCTGCCTCTCAGGTGCTCAGTGGCATTAGGAAGTGGGCTCTCCCTCCACTGTGTGCACCCTTTCCGCATTTCCTCCATGCTTTAAGTGGAAAACGATCATCCAGGGGAGACTGGCCTTTTATATCTTCAGGAATATGTCTCTGGGTTCCAATATCAATACCTAAGGCCTTTACACTTATTTTCTTTTTTCAATATATTGCTGTTTCCCCTGTGCTGCTGTGAATTCTCTGTGTCTCCTGGTATACCCATGTAAGAACTTGGCTAAGGACTTGCTACTCAAAGTTGGTCCTCAGACAATATGGGCATCTCCTGGAGGCTTGTTAGAAAATGCAGATTCATGGAACCCCTCCCAGGACAACTGATGTCGAATCTGTATTTGACAAGATCCCCAGGTGATTCACAAGCCCAATAAAGTGGAGACGCCCTGGGCTATGAGGCCAGGAGTGGAATTGTGGATCCTTGGGGTGCACCTCTTCGGCCTCACTAGATCATGACAAAACCTTCTGCAAAGTGGTAGAGCTAGTCCACACTTAGATCTGCACTGGATGTTGGCTCTCTGTGGATCCTGGCTGAGACAACATGTCAATTTTTGGCCATCTGAAGGGTGGAAAATAGTATTTTCTTGTGGTTTTAATTTGCATTTTCCTGTACACTGGGAGGGTTGGTCCTCTTGTTATTTGCCTTTCTTCTTTTGTGGATGGCTTGTACATATCACCCATTTTTCTATTGCTGTTTTTTTTTAATTTTTTTTTATTGTACTTTAGGTGAAAGTTTACAGAACAAATAGTTTCTCATTAAACAGTCAGTACACATATTGTTTTATGACATTGGTTAACAACCCCACCACACGTCAACATTCTCCCT